AATATATATATACTTAAATATCGTTGTTATATTACAAACATTTGATTAAAATTATAATTATCTTCTTATAAAATACGATTAAACTCAAATACTTACTTGAGTATAATCCATTGAAGTGCATAAAAATGAATAAATTTTGAATTAAAATATAATTTGGTTTTATAAAACAGCACATTTTCCATTAAATAATTTGAGTGGCTCGTTATTGGACATATCATTTGAGTGTTAAAAACAAACAATGTTTTATTTTACATGATTTTCTCAATATCATAATATGTTAACTAATTGCATACATTTAGGATGATAAATAAAAGTAAAAGGAGGATTAAATTGAAAAATTTGTTGATGGATTAAGTGTATAAACAATATTATGCATGTAATTTTTAAAAGGAAGACATTTTGATTAAAATTTTGGAAAATTATGGAGTTTAGAAGAAATAATTTCTTGATAATTGCAATTTTATCAAATTAGAGTTTGAAATTTTGCTAATATTAAATTGGAAATTATAATTGAAATTGAAAAAATTTTTGATGGTTCCTCAAATTGTCAATAAATTGTCAAAAATTATTTCTTTACACGATATTATTACTATAGGAAAATTATTAGACCATTTTAAATTATTTCATGGAAATAAGTAGGTTCCCCACGAATTTACTTATATGAATTTTTGTATAAAATTTCACCTTTCAAAATTAAATGATGTAAAAATAGAACAATTTTTTTTTTATAAACAAACGAGTAGACTACATTAAAATTAATAAATAAGTAAATTTCTTATTCTTTACAAATTTGTTGGGAAATGTTCTAAAATATTCTCTATAGTTACACATTTAAATATTTATCTATCTAAAATAATCATGAAAATGAATTAAATAAAAATATAAACGGGTGTGACTTTTTAAATAAAAAATTAAAAAAACAAAGCATGCACATACTTAGGTGTGTGTAAGTATTTACATATATATATATATATATATATTCTCTACACATGTACATGTCTATATGGTGTTATTATATATGTATGTATTTATTAATAATTAAAGTACAATACATGATTTTTTACCGCATTTAAATACAAGGTACAAGCTTGCAATTTAAATTAACTTTCTGCTGAAAGACAATAAAGAAAAGAATTTTTTTTTTAAAGATTCTTTTAGATAGAGGTTATGTGTACTTAAGTATGCGAATAAATTTACTCTTAAAACATTATTATGTATGTAAGTATGTAGAGATATACGGTGTATGTGATCACTTAAGTAGTATTTATAAGAAAGAATAAGGAAATTTTTTTGTTAAACATTTTAGAATAATAATAATTGTACATACATACATACGTACTCATAATAAGTATATATACATATTTGTAATGATTAAAATCACCGTAAGTACACTTCCATACTTTTAAGAAAAACAAAGCACAAAAAAAAAAATAAAGACATACTTAAAATGGTTTAAAAAAAAAAAATCATACTTTCATCATACTTTCTTACTTATGCATTATGGAATTTTATGAAATAAAAAAATTCACAGTAAATAAAAAAAATTTTTTTTTGTTACTTAAATAGGAATAATAATAATGTATGTAAATACTTATATATACTTAAATGTAGATGGGGTCATAGACAGCCTTTTATATACTAATGAACTAATAAACGTGTCAATTATGCGTTATGCATTTCAATTACTCTTAAATAAAATAATAAAGAAAAAAAAAATGAAAATATTTTTGAATTCTTTTCTGATTTCGTTCCGTTTCATTTATTTTATTAAATTTATTCTTTCTAAAATATATTGTAGGTATATAGTTAGGTAGGTATGTAGGTATTTTTTTTTTGTAAATGTACAAAGTGTTTCAATAGATAGGGTGAAGGTTAAAGAATTGGGAAATTTTGTCAGAAATATGAAGTGGATTTCTCAAAAAAAAATTAAATTTTCTGTGGCGACTAGAATTTTTATCTAATAATTCTAGTCACCAAACAATTTTTTCTCACTCATGTTAAGAAAAAATTATTTGGTGAAAAAATTTTTACTTTAACTTGCCAAAGTCATAATTTATGAGTACTATTTTTTATTGATTATTTTTTTAGCTTCATTTCTTAATGTTTTTTACACATTTTACCTAAATATGTATAACAAAATTTTCGATAAACTTACTACTAACGCAATTTACTATCTGTGAATGTAAAGACCACATTACTTTCATTTATTGCTTATAAATGTATACTTACATTCATAAGTACTTACATACACATAATTTACTTACATAATGATTTAATTTAAATTCATAAAAAGAATTTCTTTCGAATTATACTCCGATGCCAGTTCAGTTAAATATACTTAAATAATTATTTTTGTATTTAAAGTTTCCTTACAGTTAATTTTGTTTTCGAATTTGATAATTTTTAAATTACAAAGTTTACGATCCTAACTCCGAATTTCTGTATATAAATAAATTTGTTAATTTTTCGATTTCAATGTTTCAATGTTTGCTCAAAGAAAATGTATAAAATTTCAATTTTGCAGCATACTGACTGAAAAGAGGGCTGCAAGATGTAAGAGACTGCAAATAAATTAAAATGAATCAAAAGATTTTTCCGTAAAACACTATTTTTTCCTTATTGACTTTTACTTCAAATGGAACATACTGTATTTTACACTCTTATAGGAATGCCTGCATAAGTAATAACTGATTTTTAGTAGATTTTGATGAGTCGCCTGTAAAAAAAAATATTTTTTTATTTTTAACTTTTCCAAATGTTTTTTGTGTACTTACAAAAAAAAATTTTTTTTTTTTATTAAAGTAAGTAAATGAAAGCGTTTTGTTAGCGCACATATACACACGTATGGGAACAACAATTTTAATCAAGAATTTTTTTTTTTTTTTTTATTTTCTTGTTTTTAGTTGCAACAGTTTTTTTATTATAAAAAACAAATATTTTTTTTTTAAACTAAAGAGAATTATTTGTTTGAAAGTGTGTATAAAAAGTATCTTTGTGCTTAAGTAGAAAGCAAATTTTTGAAACGCATGAATAGTTAGTCAATAATAACATTATTATCGAATATTATCGAAAACGAAAAAAAAAAAATACTTATGAACAATTCAATTAGGTTTACACCATTTAAGGGGGCACACATTTTTTTTTTAATAAAATGGGATGACAAAAAAATGTTATAGAATAATGACAATAAATTGACATTAATTTGATGGTGTGCATGTAATTGCAACACGCACAATAATTTTATATTATTGTAATAAAATGAGAGAAAGAGTGAGAGAAAGGGTAAAGAGAATAGTTTTATTATAAATATTTAAGTATTTCTATTTCTTATTAAATTAGTTAGGAAATAATTTGAATTCTTTTAGACTTTTCTAATTTATTTGAGAACGTTGTAATTAATAATTTTGATTGAAATTCCCGAATATAAAGAAAACTCTTTAAATATCTTATAAAAACGAAACAAATGACAAATAATTGATCCTTTAGAATGAATGATTTTCTATTTGCTCTTTTATGAGTATGAAATTTTATTCTTTACTACTTGCTTGTACAATTTTCATCACTTTGGAATGTAATACATATACTTCACAATATATGTATATGAGATTGAAATCCGAATAAGATTTTCTACATTGTTATGACCTAAAAACTTACATACAAACATAAGCACCTTCTCTTGGAAAAAAGACAATGTGTAATTACTCAAAATTGGTGGTGGTGATTGTTTTCAGCATTTATAAGATGAACATTATTTAAGTTTTCAAGTGAAGTGTGATTTATTAATAAAAATATTTTTTTTATTTTTCTATTTTCATAAATTTTGATACAATTGATTTTTCAACAAAATTTTTTTTACAATTTTATTGAAAAATGGTTAAATTTAAATTGAATATTTTATTATACAATTCAATTAAAATTCATTTAAAAAAATTAAATTATTCTGAAAATAGCTAGAAAATATAAAATTAAATTGTGATTGAATACTATTTGATACATTTATAAAATTCTTGAATTTTTTATTAGCTAGATTTTCAATTTGTATTCATTAGAAAATTTTCAATATTATTGTTTTAGTTTTAAACTAGCTGCTTATTACTGTACATTGTACACATAGGGTTAATTTAAATATGATTTGAAAATATTTTTAAATGCATAATGATAAATGATTTTTTTATATTTTGTTATATTGTTTATTTGTTAACAATATCGCTCATTTACTGCGACCATGACATAAGCAACAAAATATGATTTCTGAGTTTTTTTTAAGCAGAAATAAGCACTTAAAAAATTTCTTTTCTTGTGTAAAAACCACTAGGGTTTTGTGTTCGTACTTATGTTATATGTCTTCCTGAATTTCAACGAATATCATAATCTTTCATCATTTGAAAATATTGTAGTTAATTTTTATATTTGATGACAATTTTTCCATTTATACTTAACATTGGACCTGTTTATACGAGCATTCATTGAGCGTAAATAATAAAATAAATTTTATTTGTAGACGAGAGAGTATGAAGAGCTATTTGAAACAAGTATTAATGATTTTTAATTTTTTTTGGGTTTCATTTTGATGTGTTCAAAATGTGATTCATTTTGTCTAATAATGTTACCTACCAGTTTTTGTTTGTAACAGAATTTCAAATTATTACAATTTATATAATCGAAATAAAAATGTTATTTACTTTTTTTTATCATTTTTTTTATTTATATTTGAACTCTTAATTTCGACATAAGGTAGTTGAAATATCTTTCACTTAAGTGTTAAGATTAGATTAAACATTTATTGGCTATCATAATAAATAAATTAGTAAACCGCAATTTCCGGATATACTTAGGCAAATATTGATTAATTACCGTAAAGTAATAAAATTTTGATAAAATTCTAAAATAAATATAAATGTACAACATTTTGTAAATAAACATAAAATGAAAACAAATTATTGATTGGGTACAAAAAACTTTCTTTTTTTAACATATCTTTTTCTTTTTTTTTCTTTTAGTTTTCGAGCCTTGAAACTCCTGGCTACGTTGGTTTTGCTAATTTACCAAACCAGGTTCATAGAAAATCAGTAAAAAAAGGTTTTGAATTTACATTAATGGTGGTTGGTGAATCTGGATTAGGAAAATCAACATTGGTGAACAGTTTATTTTTGACAGATTTATATCCAGAAAGAGTTATACCTGGAGCTATTGGTAAAAAAATTTTTATATAAGCATTAAATGTAATAAAAATAACTTGTACATATTTATTTGTAATATTTTAGAAAAACAAAAGCAAACAGTGAAATTAGAAGCATCAACAGTTGAAATTGAAGAACGTGGTGTTAAATTACGTTTAACTGTTGTAGATACACCAGGTTTTGGTGATGCAATAAATAATTCAGATTATTCTGCGATATTAGAATATATTGATGAGCAATATGAAAGGTTCCTAAGAGACGAAAGCGGTTTGAATCGACGTAATATTGTTGATAATCGTATTCATTGCTGTTTTTATTTTATATCACCATTTGGTCACGGGTATGTTTTTTGTTTTTTTTTATAAAATATAATTATATAAAAAATTATAAATAATATTGTTTTATTTTTTATTTTTAGATTAAAACCATTAGATATTGAATTTATGAAAAAATTACATTCAAAAGTTAATATTGTGCCTGTGATTGCAAAAGCTGATTGTTTAACTAAAAAAGAGATTCAACGTTTAAAAACTAGAATTTTACAAGAAATTGAAGAAAATCATATAAAAATTTATCCATTACCAGATTGTGACAGTGATGAAGATGAAGATTATAAGGAACAAGTAAAACAATTAAAAGAGGCAGTTCCATTTGCTGTATGCGGTGCCAATACATTATTAGAAGTTAAGGGTAAAAAAGTTCGTGGTCGTTTATACCCATGGGGTGTTGTTGAAGTTGAAAATCCAGAACATTGTGATTTCATTAAATTGAGAACAATGTTAATGTATGTACTTTAGTTTTATGTTTAATAAAAAAAAATATTTTATAAATTTTAATATTAAAAATTTTGAAATTTTAGTACACATATGCAAGATTTGCAAGAAGTTACACAAGAAGTTCATTATGAAAATTATCGTTCTGAACGTTTGGCAAAAGGTATTAAAAATGGTATTAAAAAAGAAGCAACTGATAATATTGTACCAATAGTTACATCTGATAAAGATAGAATATTACAAGAAAAAGAAGCAGAATTAAGAAGAATGCAAGAAATGTTAGCGCAAATGCAAGCAAAAATGCAAGCGCAACAATAAATATTTACTGAACCCATCCAAAAATATAGAATTAATCATAAATTTCATATTATATTTTGAAATTAAAGTTACAGTTCATATTAAAAAACAAAACAATGAAAAAAAAGAGTAAAATCCTATCCACATTTATATTCTGATTTATATTAATATGTTATATGTAAATACATACATAAAATAAATTAGATGTGTTAAAAAAATGAATAACAAAAATTAAATTAAAAAAATTTGTTTATATACAAAAATATAAATAAAAGTATAAAATTCCCTAAAATTCTAATTATAAGAAAATTTATACCCTTTTTATCGTAGACTGTATTATAAAACAAAATTTACAAACTAAAAAAAAAACGTATAAAATAAAAGTTAAAAGAATTTTTGTGAATTTTGTGTTTAAATAAATTTCTAAATTGAAAAAGAAAAATGAAACCTACATACAAATATATTGTGAAAGTAACTTAAAATAAATTATATGACAAATATTAAATAATAATTACTTCTAAACATTTTCTTTTAATATTTTAATATTAAAACATAGAAATATATTTGAAAAAAGAAAAATTGAATAAAATATCACTAGGTTATAAGAACAAAAATAAAAATCACAAATTATGAATTTCGTATAAAATAATTAATCATATATATTATTAATAAAAAATTTTTTTTGTAATTAATTATTTAGCTTTGAATAATTAAAATTTTGTAATTAGTATTTGAGTTTGTTAATCATTTATACAAAAATTTTTTAGTTATATTATTTAGTTTAGTTATGAGTTGATTTTTTAAATTTTATTAAGTAATTTAATGAGAATGAATAGTTTGTTAAACTGAAAACAAAATCAATAAATAAAGATCATTTCTTATAATAATAATAAATAAATATCATTTTGAATATAAAAATTATTGAAATTGCATAAGCATTTGAAATGTGTTCAATGTAAATTGGAAATTTGAAACAAATCATTTTAAAATCAAAAAAAAAAATTGATATTATGATTACATTTAAAAATTAAATAAAACCCAAAATAAAAATATTGTAAAAGATTAAATGAAATTTTTTAAAAAAAATTTTTATATAACAGCAATAACACAGCAAATACTAAAATTAATTTTAACTAATTGCAATTTTTTTAGAAAAAACTTAATCTTTACACTTACAATCAATCATAATTAAACATGGTGCCTATAATATAATTTATATAATATGAGCAAAATATTAAAAAAGAACTAAATTAAATGTTGTAATTTGCATTTTGAAAATTGCATATATGTATTCAAAATAAATTAAAGAACTTGTAACATTTTGTGACAAAATTTTGAAACATTTAAAAGTTCAAGATGGAAATATTAAAACAAATTGAGTTCATCTCATTCAAAAAATTTATAAAATTATATTCGGTTTTTTATTTTGAATTATTCAAATATTTAAAGTATTTTCAATTATTTTCTAGAATCTCATGAAGCTCTTTTAAATATCTTTCCCTTATTAACCAACTTTTTAATATGTTATAAAAAATTTAAATTTAATATAATATTATTTACTAAATACTAATATGTATACTATATTACATGTATATAAATATTCATACATAAATTATATGTACGAATAAAAATATAAAAGTAAATTTAAGTTAAGCTTTTGTACTTTTCTACGGAAAAAAAACATAAAAAAATTAAACAAAATTTAAAAACATGAACAATTTGATCTTGCAAAATATAATAAAATTTTAAAGTAGTTTTATTTAAATTTAATATTTGAATTGAATTTTGAAAATATTTAATTTGAAACAACACAAAAAAAAAAACTTAAATCGCTTTTCTTTTCAATTTGTAGTGTTTTAAAACAAAGAGTTGTGAATAAATTATATATTTTTGATTTACAAAACTAATGACTAAATAATTTAGGCTCAGTAATTATGAAAAAACTTATTTTCAACAAAAAAAAAAAACAATATAGATTTCATAAAATAGATATGTATATTTATTTGATTGCAAAAAAAGTTGAATAAATTAATATTAAGAAAATATTTAATTATAATTTCTGCAATGCATATACTACTTATGTATATACCAAGTATTTTTTGAATAAAAATTTTTTATTTTTTATTTTAAATTTTATATAAATTTCTTTTTATTTCAAAATAAGGATAAAATGGATACGAATGGTGAGCATTTTTTATAAAACTTCAAATATTATAAAATTTCTAAGATCAATTTCAGCTATTATGTGGTCAAATATTTGGAATTTTAATGATATTCATTTAATATTCTACAAGTAGAAATCTCAAGTTAAATTTGAAATAAATTCAAAATTAAATAAGAAGGACTTGACTGTTGAGAAGGCCTAAATTGTAAGTAACGAGCAATTTTTGCTTTGTACCATACTGCTTAGGTCGCATGTTAAATTCGAGCAACTGGCTTTCCAATGAGGAGTAATAAATTTGAGAAATACTGTTACTTATTTTTTCTTTTTTTTATAAACATTCTAGAAACAACCGATAGATGTCTCATCAATATCAAATTCACAATTAAAACAAATTTATTCACAATATCAAATTCATATGAGAATTATGAAAAATTTTTTTATTATTTTGAATTTTACATTTTTGCTGTCAATGTCAAAAAAAAATATGGCAAAATAAATTATAATATTGTCTTTCAAGTTGTCATTTTCTATTTCTGTTTTTGGTTTTAAATAATTTGACATTTGTACAAAGTTGTCATTCGGTACGGTGTTGTTGAATTGGTATGAATTGTATAAGCACGAGAAAATACATACCTTTAATTGGAATTTTTCGCAAATAAAAAAAATTATAGAAAGAAATTAGTGATTTTTTTTTCCTACTCGCGTAATATCAATTATATTTTATTTGAATTAAACAATTAATATGATTATTAAAAAAATAAAATGTAATATAAATATTGAAATAAAATTAAAGAATAAATATTTATTTTTTAATTAAGTGGTCTAATCGAATCTTCATGCTCTTTGAGTGATTAACCTTTTATGACATTGAAATTATAAATATTGTGGTGCTTAAATGTACAAAATATTTCTTATTTAATATATATTTAATATTAATATTTGAGAAAATAATATATTTAATTTAATTATTTAAGAAAATTTAAGAATATTAAAAATAAAGAAATCGGATAATTGCACAGTATACTTATAGTAAATCTTCAATTTCAAACAATAAATTTTGCCTATTAAATTTTCATTGTAAGAAATTTCTACATACATACATATGTACATACATATTATAGCTATAGTTTATAATATATTCTTCCAATTAGGATTATTTAAATTAATTTTAATTACATAAATTAAAATATTATAAAATAATATTTATAAAAAGTCAAATTGACTATAAAGTGATACAATCTTAAATTTATTAATAATAATAATTAGAATAGAAGAAAATCAAAAAAATAAAAGAGAGGCTAAATTTTCATATTTTCTAAGAAAAAAAAAATTCAAAGTTACCTTATTAGAATTATAATTAAAAATTTAATATTTAATATAATAAAGTAAAAAAAAAAAAAAGAAGGAGAAAACAAAAAAAAAATAAAATGGGTGCAGAAGAAGAAATTGATGATGATATTCTACCCGATAAGGATGCTGCTAAAGGATTTTATGCAAAATATGAACCAAAAGAAATTCTTGGCAGGTGAGTTCTACAATAAATATTTAATTTCATATAGCTAGGTTTGAATATTAATTTATTTATTTATATATATTTCAAAGGAATTAAACCATAAAATATTTTTTAATATTTCTTATGTAATCTTTTAGGTTAAAAATTTATTTACGATAAAATAAACAAGTGAAAGGCGAAAAAATAATTTTGAAAGCAAAAATTTATTTATAGCGGTAGGACCTACCAATTTAATTTGTTTACTTTTTAATTGAAGAGATTGGGATGACATGTGTCTTTTTTTGATTATAGTATAACTAAGTACATAGCTATATCTATGTAATTTTATATTTTTTAATATCATATGCGATGAAATATAACTTGTAAAAACTGGATTCGCTTTTGTGTAAATTTGGGTAGATACCCTGAAGAAAATATTTTTGCGTATATACTTGGGACCGGGGTAATACAAGTGTGATATGGCTGGGCTACAGTAACCCATGGTTTGGCTGCAGTGGTTGGAAGGGAGCAGTTCCTTTGCTCATATTCCTCTTCATTAATATATAATCTACAATAATATTCTATATTTATATTTATACATCAACATAATAATATGTAGGTCTACGTCTAGTTATAAATTTTCAATAGAAAAATACAAACTTTAAATTTAATTATGTTGACATTTTAAATGTTCTCCTCTATTTTCCTTTCTAAAATTTTCGAATAATGATATAAAAAATGTTTTTTGTTGAAAATTTTGTTATATTCTTTGATTTAAAAATAGTTTTCTTTTTTTTTCTGAAAAGTTTTCAAATATTTCTTTTATAATTGGTGTATTTTATATTTTTTTCTATGTAAGTATATTAAAAAGCTTTTGGCAAAAATTAATTTAGAAAATTATTCTTAAAAAACTTGTTAGAGAAATAGAACATGTACATGTGTATGTATATCTACTCAATATAGAATTAATATGATTTGGTTCAATTCATATACGTGTAGAATAATATAATTTGTTAAAAGATACTATAACATCACTATTAATTAAATTATAATACTGAAAATATTTTAACAAAAAAATATTTGTACATAATGTATATTCAAGGATTATACGGAACAATATTTTTAAGTAGATAACCTATTATACTTAGTAGAAAGTGAAAAATAATAAAAAAGAAAAAACAATTAAAATGAAAAGGTTATAATTAATTTTTTTTCAAATTTAATTAAAATAGGAATTTAAATCATTTAATTTTTGTTTTGCTTTTCTATCTTGCCACCAAATACCATTACTAAGTATCAAAATTTTTAAAATATTATTATAATTTTTCTTTATTTTCGCTCTACTGAAAAACTAAATACTCGTATATGTACAATTCATTACTCAATTAAATGTTAAGTATAACACCATTGTTTAGAAATTGTTTTTACTTATTGTGATTAATATTAATCAATTCTCTTCAACACGACTTGA